GTATTACATTCCCCAACTGTACATGCCGTCTATAGAAAATCCCCCATAGATTATATAGCATTTCATTATAAAGCATTTCGTCTGAAAATATATCTTAACTTAGTTTATTTTAAGAAGCCATTTCATTTCGATAGCTTTCAAAAGCACTCTTAAAGAAAATATTAAAACATATTTATATGTTATCGTTTATGTGCCTATCTTCGGCAATTTTCCAAATTGTTATATGTTCCAATTAAAACTGCTTTCGGCTACACATTTTTCAGAATTGGAAATTGTAACAATTTACATGTAATTAGCCCACCGACTTATATCTTCCAAAATAACAAGAAATGCTGAAAACACACACACTCACATGCACATCCAAATCCAATTAATTGTGCATGTTAAGAAAAGAGCGCGTGCGCAAAGCCTATTGTATTTTCAAAACTATTCGATCGACATTGAAAGTTGACAAAAAAATATCAATTTACGACGGGAGGCCATAACCATGCATTTCTCCAATATGGTCGGTCGGTGTGGTTGCCGCCAATCCATCGGTGGCTGGACCAACATGCAAGTTTATTGCAGTGCTCAAAGGAAGGTGGCGCTGGCTGACTGGCTGGAGGCTGTCTGCTCTGCTCTGTCTGTCTGTGTTTGGTTGTGGTTAGACCACTTTTACTTATTGATAATTTACCAGTATTACGAATATCGTGTTTCGGCATTTGTCACTAAAAAATAATCAATTTAAAAAAATGAAAATAATTTCATTTTCATTTGCAATCACATACACACACACATACATACACTTTAGGTGTATATATGTAAGTGGGGTAAATTAATGTGACCAAACAAAGGAAAAAAATCGTTAGTTGTCCAGTAAAGTGAATGACAAAGAAAGAAGAAAACAAAACGGCCTGGATCATTTACGTCAACATTGTCGAAGCCTACATGGCCTAGCCAACAATTTTTATTTTTCATCAAACGCACATCAAATTGAAAGTGAAAATGAAAGGAAATTTTGTAATTATGCATGTCTTCTCAGCATGGTGACATTGCCCAAGGCTAATTTATGCAAATGACAACAATAAACTATTAAATTGTACGGAGGATGTCGTTTATTTAATAATCGCAATGTTCAGAGAAATGCAATTTTATGTCCTGCAGGTAATTGTAAATTGGCAAAGAAAATAAATGTAAACCTGTTTATTTTTGTGGAATATTAAAACAGACTTTTTCAAGGATGTACATAAAGAAATCAAAAAGTATACTTTCACAAAAGTTGGTTCATATCCTCTTAGAACTCACTCAAAAGCTTGACCGCAGGCAAAGTCATTCACCCAGAAAAGTACGGCAAAAATAACTGCGAAATCGGTTTTTAATGCATAAATTAGTTCTGTCAATGCTTCAGTACCTGAAGATAACTCATACTAAAGTTTCTACAAAAATTTTAGTTTGAGATTTCCACGTCATTCTTTGTTATGTAGTTGATGTTTGAGGTGGAGAGCTCTCAATGCGATCTAACAAATTTTATGATCCTTAGACCGAATTTAACCCTTACTGGTGCCAATCGTTACCCATAGGATTAATCTCTCGGTCCGATAAATTAATGTCCTCCCATATGGTTGCCAGAAACTCTCTATTAATTCGAAAGTGTCTTCCCTTGTGCCGCGATTTTAATAGAGAGAGAGAGAGAGAGAGAGAGAGAGAGAGAGAGAGGGAAAGATGATCCAAAGGAAGGAATGTTGGATCGATTCACGCACCGTCTTCTATGTTTGTGAATTTTTTTTTACAATTTACCAGAAAAAGTAGTCCGTATTAAAGAATGTCTATTTACAAAAGTTATAAAATTTAGAAAAACTGTGGATGGGATAGGCGGTGTGGACATACCTCTGAGGAAAAATAAAAAATATAAGTGGAGAAAAATCTCAATTTCATGATTTTTATCACTAACATATTCGGAGCCACAAGAGATTTCAGCACATTCGGCATCATTTTGGAAAGGCAAGAGTGTAGGCTAAAATGTAGTATATAGGTCTTAATACCCCAAAATTGGACAATTTTCGACTTTCTAGGGTGTTTAAAAAAGTTCCAGTACAAAAATATCAATTTTCTTGTATTGCTCCGAAATCGGTTAAATTATATGACCACTTGTTGGATAGGTATTTCCATAAACTTTCAAACTAGGTTACGTGATATTTCCCCCACGAAAAACTCAATTTGCAGTATCAGGTTAAAAATACTTACCCCATAATGGAGTTTATGTCCGCAATCGTTGTGGATATAATCCCTATTATTATGGGGATTATGTCCGCTACTATCTGGGGACTATGTTCGATTTTTTTTTTACATTATCCCTAAAAGTGGTTACCCATAATAGTAATTGGAAGAAAATAGGATAGAAGATATAGCTATGGCTCTCATATATACTGTTCATTTTGTTATTTTATTCCCCCACAGCCATAACAACGTTTTTCGGAAAATAAATATCAAATACAGCTCAGAAAGACGTCTGCCACAATTATCAAGATCGGTTCAGATTTGGTATATCCAAATTTTTATCCGTTTTCATGTTTATTGTGCCTCAAATGGTTAACATCAGCAAAAATGGAGAATTTTAGCACATACGACCGAATTCAGCCTAGAACCAAGTATTTCAAATTTGGTGAAATTTTCCCTAGTTGATATTCAAAAAAATTCCTATTGTTTCACATAAATTGCCAATGTAAACGTTTATTTGTAACGGGTAGCCTTAATAAACATGCAGGGTATCATAAAGTCGGTCCATGATCTATCAATTATGGGAAAGGTGACTCATCCTCATTGTACGACAGTTATGATTGTTTGATATTCTGTTCTTTTGTAGGTAATGTACCGGTAGAACTAAAGGATATTTATTATTTTATTACCGGCCTTAGGTGTCATATAAATATTACGAAAGGCGAGGTTTGAACTAAATAGGATACTTACTGCACTTTTGATCTGTGATGGGATCCTAGTATAGTGAAATATATAAAGCTTCAGGAAACTTTGGCATATTTCCGACGTCATGGAAGTGGACGGAAGAAAACAGCAACATTAGCAGAAATGGTCCATGATCTATCAATTATGGGAAAGGTGACTCATCCTCATTGTACGACAGTTATGATTGTTTGATATTCTGTTCTTTTGTAGGTAATGTACCGGTAGAACTAAAGGATATTTATTATTTTATTACCGGCCTTAGGTGTCATATAAATACTACGAAAGGCGAGGTTTGAACCAAATAGGATACTTATAGTACGTTTATATATATGAGGGTTAACCCACTGGATTTGGATTTAAATTGTCATATCCATTACTTTTACTTCAAATAAATCCTCTCAAAGTAGGTTAACCCTACAAAAAGTTCTAACGTAAACATGGCATTACTGCACTTTTGATCTGTGATGGGATCCTAGTATAGTGAAATATATAAAGCTTCAGGAAACTTTGGCATATTTCCGACGTCATGGAAGTGGACGGAAGAAAACAGCAACATTAGCAGAAATGGTTCGAAAAGTAAAGAAGCGACTTCAACGAAACCTGCGTCGCAGTGGCCGAAAAAATGGCTCGTGAGCTAAACATATCGCAATATTCCATTCGGCAAATATTGAAAAATGAGCTCGGCAATGGCTTTACCCATTGAAATTCCAAAAAGTGCAAGAACTTACACCGCAACAGAAAGAAAATAGACTCAAAAGAGATAAAGAGTTGCTTCGCTTGGTCGAAAGTGGTGAACTGGCGAATTTGGGCTTCTCCGATGAGAATACATTTGTTGTCCATCAGTTTATAAACAAACAAAATGATCGTGTTAACTTGCCAAGGAGGTCAGCTGAAAATGTGCACCTTCGGTTGGCCATGGTTATGTTTTTGGCCACCATAACAGCCGATGGTCGCTTTCCGTTCGTGTCAATCGACCGTGGAATCAGAAAAAATGCCGAATATTATCACCAAAATATTTTGGAGGCTCTAGAGTAGTCACAATATCCAATTCTGAATCGTTTTTCAAAACATTTGGTGGTTGTTTTTGTACCTCTAGTACCAAATAACATTGCTGTATGCTGCATGATATGACTTCAATAAGAATTATATTAACAATTATTTATCGGAGCAATAGATATACCGGACCAAGTTTCATGGAAAAATTCGATTGAATATGAAAAAGTCTATCCAATTTGGGCTGATTTTACATGTATGGTGGACAATAACCGCAAAATCAGATGAAGATGTATGTCGAAGGTATATAAATATAGTCGGTCCCGCCCGACTTTTGACCTTTCCTTACTTGTTTCTTATACAGAATGTGCCTATATGTGTGATCTACTTTGTATATACTTTATAGGCTATGCGACGAATATAGCGATCTTGTGGTGCAGGGTCTCTATTTCTTGCTCTCTTTTAACCAACGTGGTTTCATTGCACTCTATTTTTTTATGTCGCAGACCTGTATATATATAATATAATAAACATTAATCTTCCAAAATTCTGTTAGTGCCTGTTACGCCTACCACTGCAAAACAATCTAAAAAAATTGATTAAAGGGGACCAATCACGTTGATTTGTCAGCATAGAGAATGAATTGACTGCTTGTGTAAACTATTACCACCACCAACCAAACTGTCTCCAAACGGAGTTTGAAAACTAAATTAAATTAAATTATTAATTAAAAAAAAATCCTCAAATTAATTGAATACTGTTGGTGATATTATTTGCTTACTTTGCAAAAAAATGTCCATTCCTCTCACTCTCGTTAAAAAGCACGCACACACACGCAATCTCTTTTCCAGCAACATAAAAATTATGTGTAATTATATTGTTATTTCGAAATAATGAAGTTAAATGGTTTTTTTCGCCAGTTAATTAGTGAAAATACAAAAACAAGTTTTGAGTTGGAAAGACTATTGTTTAGTCACACACACATATACATTTATACGTTTGTTTATTCTGTGGAAAACCAAACTCATTGCCATCATTTTATTTTTCTTCTTCTTTGTCTCTTGCAGATTGTCACCATGAAATTTCTCAAATATCTCCAAAATCCTCAGATCATCTGGGTTTAGTGAACATACAGCCACTGTTAACAACCACCTCTTCCGACCAAGTCCTCTCGACCAGCATGAATGATATCTCCCAAACTCAAGCTATGGTCACGTCAACAAAAATGTTTGGCGACAACGAGACCCGCAGCCATACGCGTATCCAACGTTCCGCTTTGCCAATCGTCAACGAAAAATATCCCATTTCGGGTCAAAATAATGTCCAATTTCCCATCGAATCGGAAAAGGAAGCTGTCGCTGGCCGTTATTTTCAGTATAACATAAAACCGACAAGTTCAATGGAACAGGAAAGCCCGAAAATGGAGTCGACCAAGAATGGCGAGCGAAGTGGAAAATCGGTGAAAGTCGCCACACCAACAGCTGCCAGCACTACCGGTTCTTTTTTAGTGAATGGGGACCTTCGACAACCTATGTCGGGGTCCCAAAAAGCGTCGACCAACACCAGTTCTGCGACATTGACAGCAGCTACTGCTACCGTATCGCCGCATAATCCTCGTCAAAATCCCAATCCCGATATCCAAGACATTATCACGGGCATTGTCAAGCTGTTGAACGGTAACGTGAATGTGCATGCCAATACCCAAGGTGTGCGTCGGCCCACAGCCAGTCGCATCAATAATCGTGGCCCTCCTCGGATTTCTGATGTCCAGCCACTGCCCATAGACTATGATAATGGCCACAAGACGCAGGGAACATCTTCAATGAGACCGCCACCCTATCCATTTGATCGACCGGAGAGGCCCTTTATAACGGGTGTGCCCATACCAGAACAAATTGTGCCAGTGCGTCCCGGTTTTGTAAGTAATCGACCACCATGGCATCGCAATAAGCCCAGGCCTCCAATTACCACGTCGATTGGCGGCCGTCGTCCCATACCTCAATATAAACCGTTGCCACCGGCCCAAATACAACCTCCGCAGGAAGAAGACGAGGGGGAGGAGTTGACCGCCAGTGGTATTCCCAGTACTCAGTCTACCGGGACGGCTGGGGTACCAACTGTTGATTCGGAAAACAACGATGCCATTGAGGGCCCCACTCCTACAGATACCTCATATGACTCGGAGTTTTCAAACGAAGACCTGAATACCCAATACATTGAGGTATCCGATAACGACACAGATATTATCTCCGCCAACAGAGACGCCATTCATGAGTATAAGCCTCCAATTCCCAGTCCCTCGTCCACAACCTCCACACCAGCCCCAGTGCTTGTGGCGACACATCCAACTTCGCAATCCAAAAAAGATGGAGAAAATCCCCCGGCGAAAAAGAAACCAAGCAAACATAAAAATAACGACAAGAAGAAACATAACAACAATGCGGATCATATTCATAGCAGCTCGGTTGAGCCACTGCCTGTGGTGCAAAAAACCTCCCAATATCTACCCATGCCCATGGACACAATGGAGAATTCGGGGGATGAGGTGATTTTCATGACAGCCAGCAAGACACCGGAATTGGAATCAGTCAGCACAAAACATCATAAACTGAAAACGTCGTCCTCCTCCTCTAGCTCATCGTCACCTTCTTCCTCTGTGTCAGCAATACCATCCTCTTCATCATCAAAAATCAAGAGTTCTGCCATAACAACCAAACCGGTATCGACAGAAGAACAACAGCTGGACAAAACGTCCATTAGTCTAACTTCAAATTTCGATTTAAAAACAACCATAGTTCCTACACCAATAACCTCTGTACCCATAACAACTACCACTACCACCTCAACTACTACCACTACTACTTCCACCTCTTCTACAACCTCTTCAACCTCAACAACCACCACAACCGAAACTATACCCACCTCCAATAACCAAAATCAAGTAACAACTCCAACACCTCCGGTGCCAGACCATTACCATCCTCGACCTGGCATAGTTTTGGATGATCCTGAATTCCAACCAGGTGGCCGGCCTCGACCCCAGAGGCCACCACAACCCCAACTCCCACACAATCCGGTTCAGCCACTGAATATTCAGCCGACCAGGCACCAACTTCCGCCGGGTTATGGTGAAATATTCGATGTTACCTTGTCTGCCATTCAGGGTCCCGGGTCTCAGGGTGGGTCACAACAGACCATCAACATTAAACCGTTTGGCACCTACGACTCAGGTGTTGGTGGTGCCGGTGCTGACATCATTGTTTCGGCTTCAGGTGAAGATGGTTTTGTTTCCATAGATGGTAAACGTACTTACATCAATCTTTTTGGTGATCCCACAGATCCGCCGACCAGTGTACAGCAGCCATCTCCAGCCACAGCTATACCACAACTGCCCAGTTCTCCACTTGGACCGCTCACAGCTCCCCCATCATCATCGTCGTCGTCATCTACGTCAGAGCCAAATCCAAATGGAAGTAGTGTCAGCAGTGGTAGTGGTGGTAATACTCCCGTAACCCAGAAGAATACCCCCAGTGCTGGCTATGGAGTGGCCGAGACCGAAATTGTGGACATCCATACAAATAAACCGCAGCATGTGAAGCCACAACAACAATCGTTGCCCACAACAACAAATGTTGGCACAACTCGTCCCCACTACAGGCCACGAACCACACAGCCGCCGGTGCGCATCGACACGTGTATTGTGGGCGATGACACGACTTGTGACCAGGCCCAACATGAATATTGCAAAACGGAAAATGGTGTATCCAGTTGTCATTGTCGACCAGGTATGTTGTGGAAGTAATGTATGCGGAGAAATAAAGTGACAGTTTGTTGTTTTGTTTTTAGGTTATTCACGTCGCAAGCATCGCGAGCCCTGTCGCAGGGTAATAACATTCTACATCGGCATGAGAGTAGATCGAATCTATGAGCACCGCATCGTTTGGGATAATAAATTGGCCGATCGCACCAGTGAACCGTATGGGCAGTTAAGTTTTGAATCTGTTCGAGCTGTAAGTATAATTATATGGTGGTTAAATATTTTCGTATATTTTTTCGTAAAACTTGGAAAATGTTGTCTAAAATGAAACGGAGTTCTTCCAACGATAGATTTTATATTATTGAAACATAAGATAACTGTACATCAAAACACTAATAGTAGGTTTGTCTGGTTACTTTTATGCACGAATTTTCCAGCAGCTTCTTTCTGAGAGAGTAAGGGAGATTTATTCAGAAATGTAAGCAGATGGATTCCCTGCGAAAACTACAATCAAACAGCTGATTTTTCAAACCAGAACAATTTGTCCCTAACAAAAAAAATAAATAAATAATGAAGCACGTAAAAATTAAAAGTCAGCCGAAAAAAACTATTGGGCTTGCGATTTTCAAAATAAAAATTAATTTGTTTGAACAAATGTAAATCGCCAGGTATTTTGTATTAAATTACATTAATCTCTCAATGGTCTGGTAGCCTAGTCTAGACATAAAAAACTGTGAAAGATGAGCCCAAAAGAAACGGTCAGAGATAGAATTTTAAAACATGGCGAGATTTTCGAGTTTCAGGCTAAATTGTACCAAGTTTGGTTAGGTTGAAAAGAGGGGCGAAAAAATCGCAGTTTGTCCTGGTGGACATACACTTAAGCCAGTGTAGGCCTGTTTTACACCCTAGACTAAAGGTTAAAGGAAATGTAAGAAAAGGTTCTTCGTCTTAAACCCATTGGGGTCTTCCTATCAGATTTATGTGGTCTTCCCTAAGTCTACATTTTTCCGTAGGGATATGTGGGCGATTTTTGCCCATGTCTTCATCTCTTCACACATTTCTAATGGAATTGTCTGAAATTCCACACAAGAAGTCCCTTCTGTGTACTTTACCCCCTGAAAGAGAATTCTCTATATAGGTCCACGATATCGTATATCCCCAATATAACGGTACCCCCCCGATATTCGGTATTTTGACGATTTTAGATACATTTTTCAACGGAACTGTCTGAAAACCCATACAAGGAGTTCCTTGTGGATACCATATCCCTTGAAAGAAACTTATCTATATAGGTGCACGATATCGACATATAGCCCCCATATAACGGTGCCCCGCGATATTGGTTATTTTTATAATTTTAGATACATTTTTCAACGGAATTGTCTGAAATTCTACACAAGGAGTTCTTTTTGAGCACTTTACCCCCTGAAAGAGAATCTTCCATATAGGTCCACGATATCGTATATTCCCCATATAACGGTACCCCCCGATATTCGGTATTTTGATGATTTTAGCCACATTTTATAGCACAAGAAGTTCCTTGTGGGTACTTTATTCCTTGGAAAAGAGTTATCTATATAGGTCCACGATATCGTGTAGCCCCCATATAACGGTACTCCCCGATATTTGGTATTCTGATGATTTTCGCCACATTTTCTAATGGAATTGTCTGAAATTCCACACATGAAGTCCCTTCTGTGTACTTTACCCCCTGAAAGAGAATTGTCTATATAGGTCCACGATATCGTATATCCCCCATATAACGGTACCCCCCGATATTCAGTATTTTGACGATTTTAGATACATTTTTCAACGGAACCGTCTGAAAATCCACACAAGGAGTTCCTTGTGAGTACTTTCCCCCTGAAAGAGAATTGTCTATATAGGTCCACGATATCGTATATCCCCCATATAACGGTACCCCCCGATATTCGGCATTTTGATTATTTTAGCCACATTTTCTAATGGAATTGTCTGAAAATCTACACAAGGAGTTCCTTGAAAAAGAATTATCTATATAGGTCCACGATATGGTATAGCCCCAATATAACGGTACCCCCCGATATTCGGTATTTTGATGATTTTAGCCACATTTTTAATGGAATTGTCTGAAATTCCACACAAGGAGTCTCTTCCGAGTACTTTAACCCTAGACAAAGATTTGTCTATATAGGTCCACAATATCGTGTATCCCCCATATATCGGCACCTTCCGATATTAAGTATTTTAAAGGTTTAAACTGAATTTTTTTTTTTTTTTTTTTTTTTTTTTTTTTTTTTTTTGAAAATTTTCTAATTCGTTTCAAATGGTGGAGGGTATTCAAAGTTCGGCCGGGCCGAACTTACTACTTCATAAGTTTGAAATGTAGTTTTGTCTATCGTCGTTAATATATTTTGCAGAATTTGAGATAAAAATTTATATTTTTTTGTTTTTAAATAGGTACCAATATTACTAAATGCGAAATAAGACAGAATTCCGAAATCTGCTATGATATCACTTCCTTTGTAAACAAGGTGTATAAGAATTCGTACTAAAAGTTACAAGTCTTTTTATAGTACTGACGAATGTGTTTTTGAATCTATAAATGTGATAATACATAAAACGTTTTTTGACTGACATAAATCATCGGCTGGTTTCTTCGTAAAAGGACAAAGGAGTGTAGGGTGAATAAGTATAAATTATGGACAAAAACCTGAAACTCCTTTGTTCTTCTACGAATAAGCCGGCCGGTAACTTAAGTCAGTCAAAAAAGCGTTTTATGTTTCTCTATTACGTTTATATTGTATCCCTAGTACCGAATTGTTTTAAAAAAATATTTATTGGAGCAATAGATTTACCGGACCGAGTTGCACTAAATGGAAAAATTCGGTTGAATATGAAAAAGTCTATCCAATCTGGGCTGATATTATATATGGTGGACAATAACCGTAAAATCGAATGAAGATCTATATTGAAGGTATATAGAAATCTGAACTGATCTCGAAAAAAATTTGGCAGAGGTATTTTCGAGCCGTATCTGATGTCCGGTATCAAATATCATTTTTGTGGAGGGCATATTACGCATGTGAGGGAATTAAAAATTACAAATGGGATGAAACATATTTATAGGAGCTATAATTATATCAGAACCGATTTTCATCAAATTTGATGTACTGACATTGTTAGTTTTTCTTATGGGATATTCAGATAGCGGATTAAATTAGTCATGTATTTAAATAAATTGGTACCAGATAAAATTTTTTAAATATTTTTAAACTTTTACTAGTTTTTATAACCAGCTAGGAGAGTTATTTGTGTATCACAGTCCATTAAAATAACTCCAATGTCTTGAAATCACTCTAGATTCCGAATGAAATGAAGTAGGTTATTCAAATTTTTTGGCCAAGTAGGTCCAAGTCTTGGTATAGCCCCCATATAACTGTAATGCCAGATTTATTTTTTTTTTGTTTTTTTTTTTTAACTTTGTATAATAAAATTTGTGTTCCCAGCATGTAGGCAACAGACATGTATAGAACTGTTTATATGGGATCAAGTTTTGGTATATTCCCCATATGACTGTACCTCCATATATTCGGTATTTTAAGGATTTTTCCTATATTTTTCAACAGTGTTATCTTAAAGTTGGTATTTGAAGCCCGCAATGGATACTACGTCCTATGACAGAAAATCGCCAGTACAAATGAACGTCTTCGTATAGCCATATATTACGATATCTCCCAATATTAGGTAATTTACTGATTTTAACTACATTTTTTAACAGAATTTTTATATCCTACATCAAACTGTTATCAGGGTAATATGTATTTGTTCATTGGTTGTAACACGGAAAAGGAAGCGAGATACACCCATAGTTCCTTTTGATGATCTACATAGAATCACATTCTGAGTCGATTTATACTTTTCCGTGCGTCCGTTTGTCCAGGTATTTTTGTAAACAATGTACAGGTCGCATTTATTTATTTAAAAACAACAGTTATGGGATTAAGCCTAACTATTTTGCAACAACATTCTCAAAGTCGAGAGGTACAAATGCCTCCGGGAAAATTGCTTCACATAAAGTCCCAATATAAACGTTTATTTATTACGGGTAGCTCTACTAAATATCCTAAATATGCATAGTGGTGTTACCTAAATATGTATAGTGTAGTGTAGTGTATTTGTAAAGTGGGCCACCAGACTTTTGACCTTCCATTACTAGTCTCAATCATGGTATTTTGGGTTCGTAATATGCACCACCTTCTCTGGCAGATAATTGACTGTAGAGGTCTAAACGAAAAACTCGATCGAATTCAAGTAAAGAGTGAAACAAGCGTTAAGTCGAGTTGGAGCACATCTGAGAGTAGAAAATAAGAACTTACTTTTTTTCTTGTACTAGAGTGGGTGCAAACGAGCAGATTTTACTCTGGCACCGTACACTTGTTTAGTTTAAGTCACACTTGCCAAACCAGTCAATTTCACTTTAAGAGCAAAATCTCACTCTATTTTGAGCGATTCGGTTCAAACTCTCATCTAAAATAAGATTTACCACACAAAAACAAACACAAAATAAATTCCGTATAGAACTCCCACTCTTCCAGCAATCCCACTCGCGAGCAAGTTTTATCCCGAGTGATCTGTCTTAAACAAATTATCCCACAACAATAATGGGATTAAGGCAAACTATTTTCCAACAACGAAAAATTATGCCACTATAAGATAGGTTGAAGTGATTTTTTATTCATTTTATCACAATCTCCCGCTGGTGTTGAACTTGCAATCTTCTGAAATGTATAGGTAGATTAGGATATTTCATTGTCTTCATAGTCGGTACTACCCACCGTTACTCATTACTTGGAAATTGAGAAAGTAAGTTTTCTTGCTTTGAATTTTTAAGGAATAATTCAGTTTTTAGTAAAGTTTTAAAGTTTTACTCACGTAGCTGCCAAATATTTTGCTTAAAAGGCTTGGGTTGCATGAGCCAACATCCAAAGAGAGGAAAGGGATACAGTGTGTTAGTGTAAACAAGTAAAAAAGTTGTAAGTTCGGCCGGGCCGAACTTTGAATACCCTCCACCATTTGGTACAAATTTGGCAATTTTCAAAAAAAAAAATAAATAAAATCCATTAAAAATTCTGTTAAAATTTAAAAATACCGAATGTAGGCGAATATTAGGCTATATACGACGACGTGGGCCTACATAGGCAACTTTTGTCATAAGCTATTATAACATTAAAATGCTTAACTTGAAAAAAAAATATGTTTATAATGTAGCTAAAATAAATAATATACCGAATATAGGGAGGTACCATACGTGGACCTGCAAAGACAATTTTCTGACATAGGCTGTAGTATCCATTACGAACTTCAAATACCAAATTTGAAAGAATTCCGGTAAATAATGTCGCTAAAATCATCAAAATACTGAATATCTAAGGGTACCGTTATATGGGGGCTATACGAAGACGTGGACCTTCATGGCCGATTTTCTGTCTTAGGCTGTCCTATTCATTACAAACTTCAAATTCTAAATTTGAAATAGTTCCGGTAAATAATGTCTCTAAAATCATCAATATACCGAATATTGTAAGCTACCGTTATATGGGGGCTATACGAAGACGTGGACCTACATGGTTCATTTTCTACAGTAGGATGTAGTATCCATTACGAACTTCAAATACCAAATTTGAAACAATTCCGATAAATAATGTCGCTAAAATCATCAAATACCGGGAGGTACCGTTATATAGGGGCTATACGAAGACGAGGACCTACATATTCAATTTTCTGTCTTAAGCCGTAGCATCCGTTACGAACTTTAAATACCAATTTGAAACAATTCCGATAAATAATGTCGCTAAAATCATCTAAATACAGCATATCGGAAGGTACCGTTATATGGGGGCTATATGAAAACGTGGAACTATATGGCCCATTTTCAATACCAAAAGTTCTGCAGAAATAATACACATTAGAGTAAAATTTTATCAACCTACTTCAGTTCATTCGGAAGCTAGAGTGATTTCCACAGACGGACAGACGGACAGACGGATAGACGGACAGACGGACGGATATTGATAAATCGACATTGAATTTTATGCTGATCAAGAATGTATATACTTTGTGGGGTCTAAAACGTATATTTCGAGGTGTTACAAACGGAATGACAAACTTAATATACCCTCCATACTATGGTGAAGGGTATAAAAACAGAAGTTTAAAAGTTTCAGACTAAATAATGCATGATTTTATGAGAAGGGTTGTCCCTTTGTTGGTGATATACCAGAAGAATTGGAGCTGCAGAACTGGAGTCGCATATTCTAATGAAGGTGGAAGAATAAGAAACGAAAAGTGTTAGTTGTTATGTGAAAAGTGGCTTACATAAGAAACCTATATTATTTTTCGATTTTAACTCTTTGGTCTCCGCATTATCGTAGATTAATATCCCGATAGTTCAACAACAACATAAACAAATCCCAAATATTGGTTTTCAAAATCCATTGATAATTCTATACATTACTTTGAAATTAAACTTTTTATGAATCAATTAGATTTTTTTGAATTATGTCCGAAAATTCGACGGCTCTTCCAAACCACACTTATAGTTAGAGTTGTGCCAATGTGGTTCATATTTCAGTACACCATATGGCCTATTCTGTAGCATTTATCGATTACAAACTTGTTAACATTTCTTTTGTTATGGTATCAAAATCAAATGAATTGAATTGAAAAATTTACAATGGATAAAGTTGTTCAAAAGTTAGATAATATGCCTGCAGTTCCTAAACGTATGAGTGATTTCATATATTTCCTATTACTCATACGCAGAGTTTTAATACCAACCGGACCGGAGTCCACGAAATTAGCTAAGGAACTAATTCGTTCGATCGAAAAAGATTGGCACAACTCTTCTTATAGTACGTTTGCATTTAAGTTGTCAATTCCATGGCATATATGTGCTCTGATGTAAACGTGATTAATCTGACTGAAATGATTCCTAATTATTGCTATATTTTCAGATTGATTCCGCCATGTCCATGACCCCATATTCGGATGAATTTATGGAGGCTAAGGTGAATAACATATATCGAGATCCTAATCTTGGTGGCAGTGGGGTGTTTGTAAATCTAACAATTAAGGTGAGTTCAGCTTGTAGTATAACGTTCGACTTTGCTACGACTTTTCTATTTCCGCTTTAGTTGGATGAAAGTGTTGAAACCCTTAGACCCAATCTACGCAGTGATGTTCAGAAACATTTATTGGGTGTACTGCATCGTCGAAACAATAATATTGGTAATTCGGTACTGTTTGTTAGTTCTCCCGAGGGTGCCATATCTCCGCTGCGTGATTTGGATGAATGCCAGGCCAGGGATCTAAACGATTGCCATCCGACTGCCACCTGCACCAATACGTGGGGCAGCTACCGTTGTACATGTCCTGAAGGTACCAAAGATATGTGGTCCGATCAACCGCACAGATCGGGTCGTGAATGTCAGACATGCCCCGAAACATATTGCAACAGTCGCGGAGTTTGTAGCTACAATGAAGAAGGCAACCAAATATGTACCTGTGATGGCAGCCACTATGGTGGCCAATGTGAGATTGATGGCGAGGTATTAGGTGTGGCCATTGGTGCTTCGGTCTTGGCCGTTATCATAATCGTCTTGACTCTGGTGTGTTTGATAATGTGGTCCCGCAGATGGCAGAGAGAACAAAAGAATGCAATTGGATCACCGGTGTTTGGTTACATGAATACGGCACCACTGAAGTCGGCAGCACTACCGCAACCGGGTTATCAAGTTACTCTGGAGGATCGCATGCGTTGGGCCCAAATTGCCGATGTTATGGCCCAGACCAATCATTATGGAGTAAGATACCACATTGAGGATTGATATAGGTTCTAATAAGATTTATTTTCTCTTTTCAAACAGGCTGAACCAATTGGTGGACCAACACGACCCTCTTCGGCCATGTTTGCCTATCCTAATTTACAGACTCTGGGAATGGGTACCCTGGGTGGTATGTCAATGCAAAGTACCATGCACCAGCAAATGCATCACCAACAGACCAACACTTTGGCACCGCCGGTTCCCTTGCCACGGTATGAGTGCGTATTTTACTCAAACTACAACTGGGGAACACTATTTGTTAACATTGATTTTTTTCCAGAAGACTGGGACTCAGTTCACGTTCGAATGGTATGCGAACCCTGGATAATTCTAGCTCAAGTGAGGAAGAAGATCGTACGGACTTGTTGGGAAGGAACTTTCAGGTGCCACGTCCAAAATCGCGGAGTAATGGCAGTATAGCGGTAAATATTCTCAATCAATTGTAACCGATTTACACTTCAAAATTGTCCCCTTATATCTTTGTTTAGAATCAATCTGGAATTTACTATGATGTCGATTATGAGCCATCAGCCAATGGCATCGGCAGTACTAGTGTCGATCGTTTATATGGCTCACAGAATCAATCCACAACACACTCACACGTGGGCAGCAGTCACATACCCGGTCCACAGGGGATACCGATGAGTACCTACACCTCGGGACGAGCGCCCAGTAGTTACTACATGAAGTGAATGGGAAATGCAGTTGAAAAAGGAAAAAAAAAAACAAACACAAAAATTGGGCAATAATATTTTTAAGTCATAATCGGAAATAGTATTAGAAATTAAGAATAAAAAGATTTACATATACATACACACATATATACATATGTAAAGAAATGTTTAAATTTATAACTGTAGTTTATGTGAAATATACACGTGTAATTTACTTTGTCTGTCAGTTTGTTGTAATTCACACTACCCTAGAACTAGTCTTTTAAGTAATATTGTAAATATTATTATTCATTATACATCTATAGCAGCTATGTATGTGTTTGTGCGATTGAAATATTTATTTTAAATTATTATTATTCTAACTCTATATATATTTAAAATGAAATATTTATTATAAATTATATTTAAAAAAAATTCTGTATGTAGAATTAAAACGAATTATCCATTACAATATAAACTGTACTAATCATAATGTTTAGGCTTACAATTTTAGTTTTGATGTAAATATATGAATTAAATAAAATTTAAATATAAACAAAGATTAGTTTTTTTTTATATTTTAAGTTCAATAGTAACTCTTATTTAATTGTTGAATTAAACGGTGATTGGGTCATTCCAAGATAACGTAAATTAACTACGTTCGGCATTACAAGTAGGTTGAAAATTATTTGATTTGATTTTTGAAAATTGTCATCTAAAAATTGTTTTCTTTTGGCAAAAAACAAAATCATCCGCATCCGCATGCATCAAAAAAGTTGCAGGAATTTAATAGAAATGTAGTACTAGTGGTGGAGATGCAAAAGCCCAAATGAGGGAAGCGAAAGTGTCTAGGCCTCAGGAGGCAGTGGCTGCTGGAATAAAATATGTAATAAGATTAAAAAATAAAAAAAATAAATGTTTAATACTATTACAACGAGTTAAAAAGTACCAGTCGCTTTTCGTCGGCGGATGTATTGTACGTTTATTTGAACATATTTTGGCATCAGTATTTACTATTCATCGTGTTGAGCCTTTATGGGGAAGGTTGAAATGTGCGTGAGGTGTCAGACATAGTGGATCGCAGCATTTCACTTCATATAATATCAATGAAAAATATTGGGACCTGCAAAATGTAGAGAAAATTGAACATTTAATTTCCATTTTAATACGAAGTAGGCAGAGGAAGTAGGCAGAAAAATTCATTCACATCAAATCTCTTGTTGAGAGAAATATTAAGATATACCAGATTTGAATGGAATCGATGATTTGTTTCGTAGTTTTGAGAGATTTAAGTATTTAAAATTGTGATCGTTTGTGGGGGAGGTAACACAAGTAGTAGGCCGATCTCTATCGTCTTTACACCTTGTTTTTTATACCCTCCACCATACTATGCAGGGTATATTAACTTTGTCATTCCGTTTGGAACTTCTCGAAATACTCATGTCAGACCCAACAAAGTATATATATTCTTGATCAGCGTAAAATTCTAAGTCGATTTCGCGATGTCCGTCTGTCTGTCTGTCTGTCTGTCCGTCTGTCTGTTGTAACCACGCTATCTTTCGAATGAATTGAGATAGATGGCTAAAATTTTGCACACATGTTTATTTTTCCAGTAGGCAGGTTAAGTTCGTAAATGGGCCATGTAGGTCCACGTTTTCATATAGCCCCCATATAACGGTACCTCCCTATATTCGGTATTTTGATGATTTTAGGAACATTTTTCACCGGCATTGTTTCAAATTTGGTATTTGAAGTTCAAAATGGATACTACACCCTAAGACAGAAAATTGTCTGTGCAGGTCCACGTCTTCGTATAGCCCCCATATAACGGTACCTCCCTATATTCGGTATTTTGATGATTTTAACGACATTATTCACGGGAATTGTTTCAAATTTGGTATTTGAAGTTCGTTATAGGAACAACAGTCTGTGACAGAAAATTGTCTGTGCAGGTCCACGTCTTCGTATAGCCCCCATATAACGGTACCTCCCAATATTCGGTATTTTGATGATTTTAGCGACATTATTCACCGGAATTGTTTGAAAATTGGTATTTAAAGTTGGTAATGAATACTACAGTCTGTGACAGAAAATTGTCTGTGCTGGTCCAGGTCTTCGTATAGGCCCCATATATCAGTACCTCCCCATATTCGTTATTTTGACGATTTTAGGTACAATACCCACCGAAATTGTTTGAAATGTGGTATTTGAAGTTCGTAATGGATGCTACAGCCTGTGACAGAAAACTGTCTATGCTGGTCCAGGTCTTTGCACTGCTCCAATTTAACGGCACCTCCTTATATACGATATTTTGATGATTTTAGCTACATTATTCACCGTTTATTTCAAGTTTCCAATTTGAATATGGTAATGGCTTATGACAAACAATGCCTATGTATGTCCACGTTGTATAGACCCCAATATGACGGCTATATTCGGTATTTTTAAAATTTTAACAGAATTTTTTAAGGATTTTATTTTTTAAAAATTTCCAAATTCGTGGCAAATGGTGGAGGGTATTAAAAGTTCGGCCCGGCCGAACTTAGTGCTTTTTAACTTGTTATTAGATGCTTATTTCACATTTTATGAGAGATTTAATTATTATAAATTTTGACACGTTCTGAGGGAGTTACCAGAAGGTGTGGTCCGATATATTTCACGCCAAGTCTTGTGTGAGTAAAAATATTGAGATGTGTGAAGTTTAAAGAAAATTGGACCCTCATTTCGCATTTTTGTGCGTTTTATAATTAAAATTTTGATACCTTCGTGGGTGAGGTACCAGAAGGAGCAGATCGATATACAAGGTGAGATGAAAAAAAACTGCAACCTACTTCAGACTGCTGTCATTTCTAAGCTGACAGTTAATTATATTGTTTACAAGAGGCAGCAGAAATGGTTTGAAAAGTAAAGAAACGACTTGTTCGAAACACGCGTCGCGGTGGCCGAAAAATGGCTCATGAGCTGTTAAATTATCGTGTTAACTTGCCAAAGAGGTCAGCTGAAAGTGTGCACCTTCGGTTGACCACCAGAACTCAAGCGCCGACCATGGTGATGGTGTGGGTCACAATAACAGCCGATGGCCGCTCTCCGCCCGTATTACGACCGTGGCATCAGAATAAATGCCGAATATTATCGCGAAAATATTCTGGAGGGTGTATTAAAGCCTTGGGCACGCAAACATTTTGGCCGCAGACCTTGGACATTACAACAGTACTCAGCACGCGCCACCCAAGAATGGTTACAAAATGAGTTTTTTCGCTTCATTTCCAGCGCACAATGGCCAATGGTATTTTGGATAGCAAGGTTTGCACTAAAAAATACAAAGGCAAGCGCTTCGCCGGGCACCTTTGGCATGGTGAGCAATTCGAACAAATCTAAACTTGTTCTAAAATTTGATGCTATTTCCGACATTTTTTTGCTTTCATTCAATAAAATTAAAAAAAAATGTAAAAGTGATGGCGTTTGACTTTGTTGCAGTTTTTTATCTCGTCCGGTTATATCTCATATAACCGTACCTCCCGATATTCTGTATTTTGATCATTTTGTCACATTTTTTTTTTAAATTTTATGGGTTTAACAACATTTTTTTAAATATATTTGACTTTCTGGTCCCGGTCCGCGATGCCGCTCCGTACTTTTAGTCTTTAATGCTTATGTTTTAAAGCATAAGTCACAGATCTGACTTAGGTAAGCGGCACAATTTTTTATTATAAGTAATGACTCCATAGCAATTTCTAAATATAGATAAAAATTCATGGCAAAAATTATAATAGATGTTCACCTATTAAAGCTATATGATTTAGAACATCTATAATAGCCTCAGGTGAAAACCCAACTCAATTGTTGGTATTTAAAGAGCTTAGCTAAATTTTCAATTCAAATGAGCTGTAATGTGGAATTCTATTTCCAATGTCTAGAATACAGTGCTGCGTGGTATTTAGTTTTGTCCACCTCATAAGTGAGGGCAGAATGATTTAAGAATAGTCAAATATAATTACTCTTTTACACTCAATGCCGTAAGATGGGAATTAATTGTTTTGTCAATTAATTTGTGAGTTGGAGACCCCATAATGTCCATATGTTTAATCATGGTATAATTCAATATTTTCAATATTCAATATTTTCCAATATTTGTAATTTTTCCATGTTTCTGCCACAATTTCTGACTGAATGAGTCTTAGTTTGACATTTCGGAGTTTATTTCACATAGACGTACATCCCAAATCTAGGTTCCCAACCAATATTCCTTTGAGGATAACAAATTGGGTGTACATATAATGTGGGGACTATACTTAAACAAATGCCTATGTGGACAATTATCTGTAAGATGGTTCTCTAACCCAGAATAGCCTAAATACAATTTTTAGCCAACGAATTTGGCCAAAACCAAGTTGGGCCCTACTCCGATAATTGAAAATTATATGCTAAGAGGTTTTCTACCCCTTTAGAAACAAAGATGCCAAATAAGGGCCAAAAAATGAAAAAAAGTGGCCAATCCCTGCAAATTGCTTAAATCATATGATAATTATACAAAACGTGATCAGTTTTCGCAAGGATGGTTTCTTCCCGAATTACCAACATTTGCCGAAATTGGTATGAAAATATGGTTAACATGTAAAATATACTTGAAATCGGGTTGTGCGTAGTAACCAACACAACTTTCTTTTATATATATAGATTTAAATTAGGAATACTTTGAAATGTTGACCGTTTGTTGAATAGGTACCGGAAGCAATGGACTTATGTATGCCACCTTCGCTCTTGGTCTAATGTTGACGAGACCTAACAAAATATTATGATTGTTTTCAATGTTTGCCATTTGTGTGGGAGGTACCATAAGGAACCAATATTATCTATTTTTGGTACCATAGGCCTATCGAGTTCGAGCTCCATTTAAATATGAGAAAAACACTGCAATGTGCATAGGTGGAACGTGTCTGCAGGACACGTACTTACCAGTCCGTGGACTACAAATATCGTGTCTCGTCACCTTAAGACTGAGAATAAAAATATTTCCTTCATTGTGTTTATTTCAAACCAGATCTGTTTATTTGTATTGCGCATCTATTTAGACGTCATTAAATTCATTCTATTTCATCAACATTGACACAGATGAAAACTTGCATCATTTTGAAAATGTAATTGTGAGACAATATTTACATTTTGTTGCTTCCGACTTTTATGTATGTAGAACTCAAGGTTTGGCAACATTTTTGCCCCTTTAGGTGTTACGTCTTCACCAGTTTTTTAATAGAAGGTGTTTTGAGATCTGCTCGAATATTCTAAATAGATCCAATTAGCAGACAATTCATATAAATAGATCTAGCATCAATATCATCTATCGACATCAGTATCATGAAGTATTTCATTGTACTCGGTCTTTTGGCATTACTAGCCGTTGGCCAGGCTCAAGTAAGGAATAAGAACGACAAATTGGCACGATATAACTGATTGTTTATTTTCTCTGATGTAGAACGACGAAAATGAAACTACAACTGTAGATCCATCTGAAGACGAATCGTCCCCTGATCCACCTCCACCACCACCGCCACCGAAACGTCCAGGACATGGCAGACCTGGTCATGGTAGACCGGAGAGACCAGAATGGTTAAAACCTGGATTTGGATTTTTTGAATCCGGACATAGAGCTCCATTGCCAAGGCCTTTGCAGCAACTAAGGAATGTTTTCACACCTGTTGATCCCCCCGCGAAAAGTCCCGAAGCAACAAATGCAGAAGAACGAGTCCCTGTTGCATTTGTATTTGGATCCGGTAAAGTAAAAGGTGAATCGTTTAACGATTACAGTAGTGGCCATAGCTTCGGTGGCAACACTTTTGGTGACACCTATGGTCAGGGTATAGTCGTCAGAGACAAAGAAGAAACTACCAGCACTACACCGGGTTATTACGAATATATTTATAGAAAATAGAGAACTTCAACAAGACAAAAACAAAAATAACAGAATAAAGATGTAGAATAAGAATTTAAGAATTAAATAAAAATATTAAATATGTTAAAGGGAAAAATAGGGTCCAAAGTTTGATCTCTAACAAAATGAATATATTGATAGGAAACCGAGGTCAAAGCCTTTAAAAACCAATTCCCGAGCACCAATGTTATATTTGGGCTATATCGCTTATAGAGTTTTCCTATGAGAAATTCCAAATAACCAGAAAAAATAAAAAGTTAAAATGTGGAATATAAGAATGATTACAGCTCCTTGGTTTCTGATTGTTTGTTTTACATTATATCGGCCGGTACCGGAGGACCAATTTCGAAAATTATTTATACGGAACTGACATACTTGCTGTGAACTTTAATTAATAAATTAAAGGCAATGCTGTTGGAAAGTGAGATCAAAATACCTTAAATCATGCCGGTACCGGATTCTGATTGTCCATTTCTTATTGAGAATCATATATATATTTCATAGGTGCTGTGTCATATTCCCCAAGGACATAATCCCAATTACTATTATGGATATTATCACAGTTACTTTTTGGTCATAACCCCCCGTATGTAATGGAGGTTATGTCCCAAAAAAACTGTCATAAACTCCAGAAAATAGCGGACATAATCCAGATAATAATGGGGATTATGTGCAAACCGTTTGCGGACATAAACCCTATTATGGGTTAGGTATTTTTAACCTGATTACGACAAAGTAACTTTTTCTTGGGAAATACCTGTTTAGCCGGTTATTAGACCAGAAAGTTCGGATACCAAATTCAGGTTTAATCCTGTCCAGCAAAATGGGTATCATTTGCAAGCAATTTGAAATACCTTCCTGAAAGGTGAATTTATGATAGGGTTGCTTAAACCTGTTCCGGATCTACACAAAAATTTTATTTTTGTACGGGAGCTTTTTCCATAACCCCTAAAACGTCAAAAATGTATCCATTATGGGGTATTAAGATTTGCAAATTACATTATAGCCTTCACATTTGCCTTTCCAAAATGATGCCAAATGTGCTGATATCTCTTGTAGTTCCGAAGATATTAGTGATTAAAATCATTGATTTTTCCACTAAAACAGGGTGAGATGAAAAAAACGCAATCAACTTCAGACTGTTGTCATTTTTAAGCCACTCATCCGACAGCTGTTAAAATTATTTCAGTGACATTATATCATTATATTGTTTACAGGCGTACAAAAACATTTTGGTGAGAATTTTTCTGGAAAAAAGTTATTCGAGATGGAACTCAAGCGTAATAGTGTGATTTCTTTGTATTTGGCAGGAAAACCACAAGTGGCAACCGTTAGAACACTCCAGAATTAAAATTTGAATAAATATTTTGTGTCTCGTACCATCGCTCATTACCGTAATACTGGTAGCGTAGTCCGAAGTCAAGGAAGCGGACGGAAGAAAACAGCAACATCAGCAGAAATGGTTCGAAAAGTAAAGAAGCGACTTGATCGAAACCCGCGTCGCAGTGGCCGGAATATGGCTCGTGAGCTGAACATATCGCAATATTCCATTCGGCAAATATTGAAAAATGAGCTCGGGGTAAAGCCTTAGAAATTCCAAAAAGTGCTGGAACTTACACCACAACAGAAAGAAAATAGACCCAAAAAAGCTAAAGAGTACTTTCGTTTGGCCGAATATGGTGAACTGCCGAATTTGGTTTTCTCCGATGAGAAAACATTCGTTGTCCAGGAGTTTGTAAACAAACAAAATTATCGTGTTAACTTGCGAAAGAGGTCAGCTGAAAGTGTGCACCTTCCGTTGGCCACCAGAACTCAAGCGCCGGCCATGGTGATGGTGTGGGCCGCCATAACAGCCGATGGTTGCTCTCCGCTCGTATTAATCACCGTGGCATCAGAATAAATGCCGAATATTATCGCGAAAATATTCTGGAGGGTGTATTTAAGCCTTGAGCACGCAAACATTTTCGTCGCAGACATTGGAGATTCCAGCGGGACTCAGCACGCGCAACCAAAGAATGGGTACAGAATGAGGTTCCTCGCTTCTTTTCCAGCGCACAATGGCCACCAAAATTTCCGGATACCAATCCGTTGGACTATTGTGTCTGGAGTATTTTGTAAAACAAGGTTGGCACTAAAAAATTCCAAAGTGTCGATCACCTGAAGCAAGCGCTTCGCCGAGAATTTGCCAAAATCCCGCATAGCTACATTCGGGCAGCGTGTGACGGTTTCATTGGCCGTTAGAAGGCCATAATTCGTGTCAAAGGTGACCAACTCGAACAAATCTAAACTTATTCTAAAAATTGATGATATTTCCGACATTTTTTGCTTTAATCCAATAAAATTTAAAAAAAACATGCAAAAATAATGGCGTTCAACTTTGTTGCAGTTTTTTATCTCACCCTGTAAATATTAGGATACACTAAGTTTAAAGCAAATCGCTGGCTTGCTTTGCATCTTATTAGTCTTATAATTATTCAAAAATTTAACCCCAAGTGGGGGAAATATCTGAAGGAGGTCTGATCCACTCCGCTTTCATAACAGATCTAGGATTGGTAGAAATATTGCGATATGCGACGATTGGCTTAAAGACGATTGGCCTCATCTTTTACACTTTATTAGTGTTATGATTATTACAATGTTTGGCCCTTTGTGGTGGAGATACCAGAAAGAGTGGTCCGATCTATTCCATCTTCACATGAGATCTTCTTGTGAAGGAGGTACTAGAAGGAGTGAACCAAAATTGTCCATTTCCGAACTCGATATTGGCCATTTGCACTGATGGTCTAGCCCTGATACAAATATTATAATTTGAAATATTTAAACAAAATAAAATGAATATTTTTTTTTCAAAGAGGTATATTGTTTTCTTTTAAAAATGTTGACTTTTTGTGGCTGAGTTACTAGAAGGGGTGGACCGAAATTTACCCTTATCCGAACTCGATATAAGTTTGACAATAATACCAGGTTTGGACGAAATCGGCTACTCTCTTTGAGAGTTATCGTGCGCACCAGCCAGACTTCAAATGTCCTGAAATGGATTTCGTCCAAAGAGACCTGGGGTCTAAAACTGAAGGCATAATAAAACAAGTAAAAAAGCTGTAAGTTCGGCCGGGCCGAACTTTTAATACCCTCCATTATTTGGTACAAATTTGACAATTTCCAAAAAAAATATAAAATCCGTTAAAAATTCTGTTAAAATCTTAAAAATACCGAATGCCTATACGATGGCGTGGACCTGCATAGGCAACTTTTGTCATAAGCTATTACAATATTTAAATGCGAAACTTGAAGAAAAATCTGTTATATGGGGGCTATACGAAGACGTGGACCTGCACAGACAATTTTCTGGCATGGGCTGAAGTATCCATTACGAACTTCACATACGAAATTTGAAACAATCCCGGTAAATAATGTCGCTGAAATCATGAAAATACCGAAGATCGGGAGGTACCGTTATATGGGGGCTATACGAAAGCGTGGACCTGCACAGACAACTTTCTGTGATAGGCTGTAGCATCCATTATGAACTTCAAATGCAAAATGTGAAACAATTCCGGTAAATAATGCCGCTAAAATCATCAAAATACCGAATATCGGGAGGTACCGATATATGGGGGCTATACGAAGACGTGGACCTACATGGCCCATTTTCTGTTTTATGCTGTAGAATCTATTAAAAACGTCAAATACCAAATTTGAAACAATTCCGGTAAATAATGTCGCAAAATCATGAAAATACCGAAGATCGGGGGGTACGGTAGACGGGGGCTATACGAAGACGTGGACCTACATGGCCCATTTTCTGTTTTATACTGCGGTATCTATTACGAAATTCTGTCTAAGGCTGTAGTATCCATTACGAACTTCATATGCCAAATTTGAAACAATTCCGGTGAATAATGTCGCTAAAATCATCAAAATACCGAATTTCGGGAGGTACCGTTATATGGGGACTATATGATAACTTGGACCTACATGGCTCATTTACGAACTTAACCTGCCTACTGGCAAAATATACATATGTTCAAAATTTTAGCCTTCTATCTCAATTTGTTCGAAAGATAGCGTGATTACAACAGACAGACAGACAGACGGACAGACAGACAGACAGACAGACAGACAGACACACAGACAGACAGACGGACATGGCTAAATCGTCTTAGAATTTTACGCTGATCAAGAATATATATACTTTGTTGGGTCTGACATGAGTATTTCGAGGAGTTACGAACGGAATGACAAAATTAAAAGAAACTCATGAAACCCATGCCTTGTTTCATTTTCAGATTACTAGGGTTTTAGCTACCGATAATAAAAAAAACATTTTTTTTACGAATATTGTGAACGATTTGGAAATTGAGTTGATTTTACCGTAGACTAAAAAGCCCGATCAAAATCGAGCGAATAGTCAATTATTGGTTAACATTCCTATATAGCTTCCCTACCAATGCACAGTGGTCGAGGTCGTATGGGAACAGCGGCCAAAAATACTTTCAGTGCAGATATCAATATGAATCTTTGGTTATGGTACTTTGATGGGATAAATATAAAAAATGTGACAAAATGGATATGGTCGATGCATGTTTTGTCATGGTCCCCATATAACGTAACTCCCGAATAAGGGTTATTTGCCCAATTCTTGTCACTTTTCTACACCAGATTGTAATGTTATTTGACATTTTACGTTCTAAGGAGCTAAAAAATAATCTTACTGAAAATTATTTTAAAAACAGCCCGCCATCAGGTAGAGTCCCTTCAAGGGTCCCTTCAAAAATAGAAGCATTTTTTATACAAATCAAGTCCAAATTTGATTTTTTTGTAAACAAAATAAAATAAAAATTTAATGTAAAATTAAATCAAAGATAAATTTTGCACAAATAATTAGTTTGACTTAAGGCCCTATTGAAATTGTATATAACCGGTCAAAATTTAGGTATAGCTCCCATATATATTCATCCAATTTGCCTTATATTGTGCACCAAACTTGTAATATCAAATAGTATGGAATATACGTACGACCAGATGGGACCTGAAAATAAGTATGCCAAATTTGATCGAAATCGGTTCAGATATATATGTAGCTCCCATATATATTGTTCATCCGATTTATTATTTTTGTCCTCCGCAGCCGTAATATGCACTCTGTGACAACGATATTTGGGGAAATATATCAAATATAACTCAGAAATACCCTTTCTAAATTTTATCGAGATCTGTTAATATTTGGACATGGCTCAAATATATATCTTCGTCCGATTTGCCTTTTATTGTGCACCAAACGTGTAATATTAGCCCAAATCATATATATCTATCCGATTTCAAGTTAATTGTGCACCAAATGGATAATACAAGCCCGAATTGAAAAGGCGCAAATGCCTCGACAAATTGAATAGAAATCGATTCAGAGGAGGATATTCCTCCCATATATTAGTTCCTTTGGACTTTTAATTATTACTATAATCATTGTTGGTATGATTTAATTCTCACAAATTCCCCATTAAAACCTTTATTTGTTATGTGACGCTCTACTAAATATGCAAAGTGGTGAAGGGTATCATGAAGTCGGCCCCGCTCGACTTTAAGACTTTCTTTACTGGTTATTGTTTGGTAAGGTTCGCTGTCCCATTATTAAAGGGGTCAGAGCTCAGAAGAAGACGGTTAATAAGATCGGTGTTTGTTGAAACACGAGCATTTTTTCTGGCATGATTTTGTCGAAACTTGGAAGATAGTGCCATGGATATAAATTTGTTAACTCTTTAGCAGTTTCCAGTGCAAAGGCCTTAAATTAAATCGACATAAATATTATACCCAGAGGACAATGCTTGCAACATTATTGAACACCCCTTAATTACATCCTTATCAATCCCTAACAACAAAAACATATTCTATGTCACTAGCACCATAGAACTGACAAAATTGCAGCGAAGTCACTTCAGTATATTGGGCATAACGTACACATCTGACAAAATCTGAAAGTTAAATTAGCACTTTTAGAATCTTAGGACCATTACTAATGGCGTGAAAAAAATGACATTGGAGGATTCAGGGGGGAAAACAATTAAAACTTTAACTGAAATCCAATTTTATTTTCAAAATTAATCTTAAAGGCAACTTAGAACACTCACATCTTCTATATTATACACATATACTAAACACACAAATTACTGCTCTAAAAATAAGTTAATACCTTGCTTTTCAATAATAATGCCAAGATTTGTAATTTTAAAATGTATTTAATTTTGTAATACAGTTCTATTTTTACTCCACTTTTTCTCTGATCCCACTGAAAAAAACAACTAACTATATTTTCTCTTTTTTGATGCTATTTTCGAAGGGTCCCGTTAGAATGAAGCCAAGATTATTATGTTTTCTAAAAAGCTTAACCCCTTAAGAGTTCATTTGTACACATTTGACAATAAATATCTTATTTTCATTTTTTGAATTTTGGCCAATGGCAGCGACCACTGTGCAATGGTGTCTAAAATCTGCAAACAGCTTCATCAAAATAATATCTTCATTAAACATTGCATTTAACTACGTATAGCATCTGTGTAAACCGATATTATTATGATAATTTTATATCGATGAAGAGTTATTTAACAACTGTAAATCATCAATATTGACAAAGCTGCCACAATTGTTTGCACTGTCCACTTGCTTTCCATCTCTGAGTGATGTAAGTCCCTATTATTTAGTTCAATTTAAATGGTACCTTCCCCTTTCTCCTCGTCAGTTAATATCGAGAGTAACAATTCATATAAATAGATGCAGTCGGAATGTTTTTATTCAGCATAGGCAACATGAAGTACTTTGTGGTTCTTGGTCTCTTGGCACTCTTGGCTGTGGGCCAAGCTCAAGTAAGCATACCTAGTTTTTTTTTTCATTACTAACTTAAATTTAATTTAATTTTTTTCAAGAATGATGAAAACGAAACAACAACTGTGGATCCATCCGAAGATGAGGGAGATTCTTCTCCATCACCTCCTCCACCCCCACCACCACATCCACCTAAACGCCCGGAACACGGCAGACCTGGTCATGGCAGACCCGGTCCAGGACAAGGACATGACCGTCCTGAGCCAGGACATAATCGTCCAGGGCCATTGGGATTCTTCCAACCTGAACACCGGCTACCTTTGCCAAGGCCTTTGGAATTTTTAAGAAATGTCTTTTCGCCCGTTAAACCCCATGGTGATTCACAAAGAGAAGGTCCAGAAGCCAACGCCCATGAGCGTGATCAAGTTGCATTTATTTTTGGCTCGGGCAAAGTAAAAGGTAAAAGTTTCTCCGATTACAGCTCTGGACACAATTTCGGTGGCAATTCATTTGGTGACACCTATGGACAGGGAATTGTCGTTGGTGAAGCTTCTACGCCAACCACTACTACCACTGCCGCAGCTGAATAAGGTTAATACCTTATTTTATTTCATATCTAACAAAATTTGACAATGAAACCCCGTTCTACATGGCTTTGGATTTTTTAAGAAGTTAAATAAACAAAAAAAAAAAAAATAAAAAAGTTTTTTTTTTTTTTGTAATTACTAATTAGGAAGGACACTTGAAATCATTGAAGTCCTTTTCTAAAATTATGGATCAACATAATATTTTACAACAATGCTCGCAGTTGTCCTGGTTAGACAGGTGTTTTACCACAGTAGTTTAATTTGAAAATGACTCCCGCACTAATGAGACATGGGATCAGATGGACAATAAGGCTTGTGTGGGACGGCAAATACTTATTTGTCGTAAAACAATCACTACTTATTTAGAGTGACATTTGTAATGAATTTTTGCTTTTTGCTGGGATATTAGTTTTCGCCGAATATAATTTGTTTTTTGGAACTCTACCTTCATCCACCATGAGTGGTACATTAACTTGATAATTCCCATTCTCCCAGCTGATTATTCCCTACAACACTATGTGTTGGGGGTATTATAAGTTTGATTGGGCCAACAATTTTATAACACCTCGAAATATTGGTTTTCCCACATAGGAAAGTATATATGAATCTTCCTATCTCGCCGAGCTGAGTCGATCTAGTTATGTCTGTCCATGTTAATTTGTAATCACTCTACAGGTCGCAATTATGGCCCGGAGGGCCAGAATAGAAGCCTATTGCTTTTGTAAATGATCGCATAATATTTAGGGGTTGAAGTGGACCAAAAACTGAAAAATTTCCTGATTTTGCAGTTGCTCTACAGGTCACAATCATAGACCAACCGACGCGAAAGTTAGCATGGGGCTAGAACTTAGGGCTGGGCAGAAGTTTTTCGATTTTGAAGGTCATCGGGTAATATTTAGTGGGTATAGACCATAATATTTGTGTTAAATAAAAGTCAAAATTTCCATTAAACCGCAAATATTTTTAATCGCTGTGAAATCACAAATAGACGAACAAGTCAATTCTAACCGTTACATAGATGCCAATGGTAAATATATCGGATATATATCGAAATATATACAATGTATATATACAAAGGAAAAGGATGTTAGCTAGAATGCTTATATTTCAAGAAAGGCTGGGCAGATTTTGACAAATTTTGTCAATTCACAATGCCCTCTTGTCATAAAAGTATAAAATCTAAAAAAATCGCATAAAAAGATGTCCATAATGATGCTAATATAGATTTTGTAGTATTTTGTGACATATTTTTATTTCTTCATATTTTTATCACATGCTATTTTTTTTAATTTGACTTATAATATTGAGTGTATATTTTGTAATATTTTTTCACCTCACAACACAGGCTGGGATTATTATATACATATTGAAATTATCGTCCGATCCTCACGAAAATTTTCACAAGGGTAGGGTTAGGCTCAGAAGGGCTCAGAACTCTTGCTGATTTCGTTAACGAATATAGCCAATAATCGTAGACAAACAAATCATACATTTGAGTCTAAAAGATATGATGTTGTTATTATTTTTAAGAAAAATAAAACAACATTATTTTATTTCACGGGTATCTCTTTATTAAATTGCGGTAATGCGCAATTATAGCCAAGATGAAAACTAAAACTATATGTTTTTGTGTCTCTTATTTATATCAATAATCATAGAATGGAACAGAGGAAATGGGCTAATTTGACCAGACAATATACCGGGAATTGTTTATTTGTTAAATAGCTGATAGTTTAATATTCACATTGATAAATTATAGCCAGCCACGATCAAAGTGATACAAAGCAATTCCAATGAATTATTGGATCAACTTTGGTCGCGAAAAAGAAGTGCATTTGCGTATTAAGAGTTTTATATGTAAATATTGGGTAATTGCAAAAAGTAAATTTCCAAGGAATTAATATTTGGTCGATTTTGACTGTTGCAAAAGTGCATGTTACTATTTTGTCGTTTGGACAATGAAAATTAGTGGCCTGATAAAATTCTGGGTAATTATTGGAAGACTGATTCGGATTGTGGCGGAAGTGTTACACGTGCCGGCATACAAAAGAAATTACATACATAAATATGCTAATGTGTGTATGTGTTCATTATATTGTGAATATTGGCGTGACCGTAAACTCAACTTACAGCTCGGCGGAGTGGGTAATTATTGAGCAAATGCCCCAGGTCAAAATGCTAAGGGTAATATCTGGGCAGTGATCCGTGACATAATTTCAAAAGCGAAATCTTCCAAAATGGATTTGGACAAAAAGGGGCTTCTAACATATTGTAGTGTTGTAGGGTATCACATGGCCGGCCCCGCACGACTATAGCCTTTGCTTACTTGTTTTAATATGTTTGTGAGTGTTTAACTCATTTTAGAAATTAAAAAATTAAAGTAATAAAAAAAACTTGTTGCATCTCATTTTGAAAAATTCTGACAGAAAGCGGCATAGCATCAGGGCATGATTATTCCATTTAGAACACCTCGGAATGTTGGTGGGACATCAATAAAGAATGTATTCATGATCAGTACGCAATTGTAAACCCATTGATTGAAATAAGGAATTCTCAACTAAATTGAATGTAATTTGCTGTTTTTTGATTATCAAAAGACATAAATACTTCCCGCGGAGCATTGTCAATGTCTGCCCTCGTATTGCCATACATCCTTAATATTTCGTCGGTTTTAGTGATATTTTGCAACCTATTTAGCTGTCCTGCTGCTTTTTATACCCTCAAACGTGTGCCTACAGAGGGTATATATCATTTGATACGGCCAAATAACGGTTTTACGCCCCAGGTTTCTTATACAAAATCCGTTTCAGGACATTTGAAGTCGATCTAGGGTTGTCCGTCCGTCCGTCTGGCTGATGCTCACGATAACTCTCTACGAAATTATTCGATTTGTCCCAAACTTGGTACATCGTAATATTATTATCAACAATCTTAGATAGAGTTCAGAGATGGTCAATATCCGTCCACTCTTTTAGGTACCTGCACCACTAAAAGTTAAAAAATTTTCGTAGAAAATAATTTGCCCTGTACAACATCGAATGATCCCTTCGTTTTTGTGAAAAATTTACAAATCCCAATATTTTTGTCAGTGCTAGATCATGTGCGAAAATGGACAATATAGGCACACTCCATCAAGTACCTCCCCACAAAGGGACAGCATTTGGAATAATTATAACTCTTATAAAATGTGAAATAGGAGTCCGATTATCAAAATTTATAAGAGCCAAAAGTAAGTAAAACGCGAATATTGTCTTAGAGGTTTAAATCAGTTAACATTGGTAACTATGTTCTTATGATATCATAACAACAGAGGTATTTTCACAGGGTTGCTATAATATGACTCTGTCTTGTCTTATCTTAATATTTCTGTGGCCCGTTCTTATATTTTTCCGTTATAGTCCACTTTTGTTATCCCTTACTTTAGGAAAAATGAAGTATAAAGTTCACATTATCGGGTTCTCACTATTACATTTTCCCTTTAAAATATATGCATTTTTTACAGAGATATGGCAAGTTTTTTTAAACTGGTATTCACTGTATTTTTATCACAATGGCATCGTCATTTCAGTTAAAAAGTAATAAACAAAATGCGAATTTGTAATTAATTTCGTGAAGCAAAATTTATAATTCAGTTCTTCAATATAAAATAAACGATTTGCGTTATCCCTTTGTTATATATATAAATTATGCTGTTATTGCCATATTATCAATATAAAATATGGCAACATGAATTTAGTAAACTTTACGTTAAGAGATAAAGGTAAAATGGTCTGACCTTTTGCTTATCGGGCAGTTCATACTTAAATGAAACTTGTAATAACGAAAAACAATTTATGTGTCCGACAACATCACTTTTTTATCTATCGGGAAGATGTAATAACCGGCCTATGTATATATAATATAATAATATAATATAATATAATATAATATAATATAATATAATATATAATATAATATAATATAATATAATATAATAATATAATATAATATAATATAATATAATATAATATAAATAATATAATATAATATAATATAATATATATAATATAATATAATATAATATAATATAATATAATAATATAATATAATATAATATAATATAATATAATATAATATAATATAATATAATATAATATAATATAATATAATATAATATAATATAATATAATATAATATAATATAATATAATATAATATAATATAATATAATATAATATAATATAATATAATAATATAATATAATATAATATAATATAATAATAATATAATATAATATAATATAATATAATATAATATAATAATATAATATAATATAATATAATATAATATAATATAATATAATATAATATAATATAATATAATATAATATAATATAATATAATATAATATAATATAATATAATATAATATAATATAATATAATATAATATAATATAATATAATATAATATAATATAATATAATATAATATAATATAATATAATATAATATAATATAATATAATATAATATAATATAATATAATATAATATAATATAATATAATAATATAATATAATATAATATAATAATATAATATAATATAATATAATATATATAATATAATAATATAATATAATATAATATAATATAATATAAATAATATAATATAAAACAAAACTTGCAGAAACGAAAACAAATAAAAGTTTGAAAAATGTAAAAATGTGATTTCAAAATTCTATTCCATAGACCTTTCCAAAAATTTGCATATTGCCTTAGCGGTTTAAATCAGTTAACATTATAACAACAGAGTTATATTCACAGGGTTATAGTGTTTATCTTGTTTTTCTTTTCACTGCGAACTTCAGATCAGTTCGTCTCGAAAGAAAAATAAACATATAAAATCGGTCCTTAAAACGCTATTTGAAACAATAGGACTCTGCTGCAGAGTTGCATTTTTATACATAGAAATGGAGGGTGTATTATTTTGTCATTCCGTGTGAAAATATCTACTTTATGGGGTCTACCAAAATTCTATATCGATTAACGATGTCCGTTTGACTGCCTGTATGTTTTATGGTCCGTCTCCTGAGGTTTGAAATTTGGCACGATAGTTT